GCCGTCTACGATGTTGTAGTGGTGGGAGGAGGTCACAATGGACTCACTGCGGTAAGCCAAACTACATACTTACAACAACTACTACTACTATTATTACAACTTTAGACATTTTTACTTTTATGCAGCGGTTTCAGCAAATTTTTTGCAGGCCGCATACCTAGCAAGAGCAGGAAAAAGTGTGTGCGTTCTTGAAAGGCGAGGGATTCTGGGAGGAGCAGCAGTTACTGAAGAGATCATCCCAGGTAGCAATACAACTTCTCTCAAGCAATCGTTCCTAGTCTGCACTATTTTTAAGGCTTCAAGTTTTCACGAGCTTCATATCTACTGAGTCTTCTACGCCCAGTCGTTATCAATGATCTCAAACTCAAGGTACAAATAGATGACTTCAAGCGCATTTTATGCTCAGTCATAAGAGCGAAGCTTCGAGATTCAGGAGCATGGACTGCGTTATCACATCCGCAACCCATCCTCGTTCACCCCTATCCGAAACTCTGATAAGAGCCTTCTTCTGGGATTAGATATGAAGGAAAATTGTGAGGAAATAGCCAAGTTTTCCAAGCGAGACGCTGAGGTGAGATTCTTGTCATTCTTTGCTCCAACATTTTACGAAAGCATCTTAAAACTCTAGAGAATTGATTATTTCTTTTGGTTGAAAAGAACATTGTCCTTCTCTACGTCTGCGCACATATATGCCTAATAGGAATTCAGGAGAACCATGTAATTTCAGATGTTCCCCAAATACGAGGAGTTCATACAACGAATCGTAGGAGCCTTGGAGCCGTTGATGGATCAAGTTCCACTAAACATGCACGAAAGTTCCAAAAGGAAACTGCTTAAAAGTGCATGGCGGCAGTTCAGAATAGGTACATTTCCATTTGGGGATGACTGAAAACTATGGTTTATTGGATGCAATTAAGTCATGTATCTACTCTAGTTCGCTGCGGATGAAGGGGCGTGTCAGGCAGTATGAGTGTGCCACGGCGCCAAACCCGTTCTCTGCCAGTTGTTGAAGCGGGTATGCGACAACAGTTGGTAGAAAACGAGTGATACGAACGATATGATACAGTCTTGTCACTTGCTCGCTTCAAAACTGGTGGAGAACGGGTTGGCACCGCGCCGATTCATCCCGCCTGACACGCCCCTTTGTCCGCAGCGAACCAGACTATAGTTGGTTACGTTGCTGTACTGAATTGCAGGTAGTCATGGATATCTCAGAGCACGATGACTGGTTTTGAAAAAAAGTGTTATAGAGCGGTGTGAAGGGTTGCTTCTAAACAAAAAAAGCGGATGAAAGTGTAGCGCCAAGTAACACACCAGGCTAAGGGATCGAACCTCCAATCGGCTTTTGCTCAGTTTTCAACCCCTCGCATATCGCTGAACTGAAGCCAGGCCCGTCCTGGAAGATAAAAACAATGAGATAGCAGGTACAACGCAAACATGCGTCATCATTAACAGTTCAAGCCAGACAGGCCATAATATTCCGAGCGACCCAAAACGTTGACCCTACGGATTTGCCCCCAGGATCAGGG